ACGAGTGTCAGCTGTTGCTGGTTGTCTCTGATTGGGAGCCATACTTATAGAGGCTGTTTTCCCACATTAGTTGTGGGATCTTGTTCTAGTTGGTTTGTGTTAGACCGTTGACTGTCACGTTATCGTTTTTGTTCTTTTGGTCGTGTAATAAAGAGTATGTTCGTCTGCAACGCTGCGCCTTGGTCCTCATCTGTTCCCGACGATCGTGACACACCCTTTGCCTTGATGACAGCTTTGCACACTCTTGGCATTCTCGCAACCAGCTTCACCAGGAATGCTTTTCCAACAGTCTTGAAGGAGTATGCTGAGCACTTGTTGGCTGCTTTTCCTTCACTCTGCTGTCCGACTCATCCCAAACCATCTCAATTGGGTTGAGGTCGGGGGATTGTGGAGGCCAGGTCATCTGATGTAGCACTCCATCACTCTCCTTCTTGGTAAAATAGCCCTTACACAGCCTGGAGTTGTGTTGGGTCATTGTCCTGTTGAAAAACAAATGATAGTCCCACTAAGCCCAAACCAGATGGGATGGCGTATCGCTGCAGAATGCTGTGGTAGCCATGATGGTTAAGTGTGCCTTGAATTCTAAATAAATCACAGACAGTGTCACCAGCAAAGCACCCCCACACCATAACACCTCCTCCTCCATGCTTTACGGTGGGAACTACACATGCGGAGATCATCTGTTCACCCACACCGCATCTCACAAAGACACAGCGGTTTGAACCAAAAATCTCAAATTTGGACTCCAGACCAAAGGACACATTTCCACCGGTCTAATGTCCATTGCTCGTGTTTCTTGGCCCAAGCAGGTCTCTTCTTTTTATTGGTGTCCTTTAGAAGTGGTTTCTTTGCAGCAATTCGACCATGAAGGCCTGATTCACGCACTGTGGCAGTCCTCATGAGAGCCACTTTCATCATAGCGCTTGATGGTTTTTGCAACTGCACTTATGGTCTGCAACCAAACGTTTTAAGGTGCATGCCACCACATACTGTGCTGGAGTGTGTGATCCATTTTGGTTTGCCTAATTCTGTACTGCTAAGAAACAATTTAAAAAAATCCCTCCCCCAACACCAAAAACCCCCAACCCCATCCAACATCTTCAAACTTCCCTCTATCATGCTGAGACAATCCATCCTTAGGATTATTCTACATTTAAAAATTAAAGTAGATAGTAACATCTGTTACCCTTAATAACTCTGTTTGCCATATCCACAATAATCTTCAACCTGCCGTTTCTGCTTTCTACAATACAAGTTGTGTTGATAACCTTTCCAATGAAAGCTATGAAGCCAATTTTATTTACAATCAGTGTCCTTTGACACAGCACATTTATGGGAGCAGGATTTCTGAACAGGCCTCAAAACCACGTCAGGACTAATAGAAGCACCACTTACTACGGAAGCAGCCATAGTAGCACCATCAATAGTACACTGCTCAAAAAAATAAAGGAAACACTTAAACAACACAATGTAACTCCAAGTCAATCACACTTCTGTGAAATCAAACTGTCCACTAAGGAAGCAACACTGATTGACAATACATTTCACATGCTGTTGTGCAAATGGAATAGACAACAGGTGGAAATTATAGGCAATTAGCAAGACACCCCCAATAAAGAAGTGGTTCTGCAGGTGGTGACCACAGACCACTTCTCAGTTCCTATGCTTCCTGGCTGATGTTTTGGTCACTTTTGAATGCTGGCGGTGCTTTCACTCTAGTGGTAGCATGAGACGGAGTCTACAACCCACACAAGTGGCTCAGGTAGTGCAGCTCATCCAGGATGGCACATCAATGCGAGCTGTGGCAAGAAGGTTTGCTGTGTCTGTCAGCGTAGTGTCCAGAGCATGGAGGCGCTACCAGGAGACAGGCCAGTACATCAGGAGACGTGGAGGAGGCCGTAGGAGGGCAACAACCCAGCAGCAGGACCGCTACCTCCGCCTTTGTGCAAGGAGGAGCAGGAGGAGCACTGCCAGAGCCCTGGAAAATGACCTCCAGCAGGCCACAAATGTGCATGTGTCTGCTCAAACGGTCAGAAACAGACTCCATGAGGGTGGTATGAGGGCCCGACGTCCACAGGTGGGAGTTGTGCTTACAGCCCAACACCGTGCAGGACGTTTGGCATTTGCCAGAGAACACCAAGATTGGCAAATTCGCCACTGGCGCACTGTGCTCTTCACAGATGAAAGCAGGTTCACACTGAGCACATGTGACAGACGTGACAGAGTCTGGAGACGCCGTGGAGAACGTTCTGCTGCCTGCAACATCCTCCAGCATGACCGGTTTGGCGGTGGGTCAGTCATGGTGTGGGGTGGCATTTCTTTGGGGGGCCGCACAGCCCTCCATGTGCTCGCCAGAGGTAGCCTGACTGCCATTAGGTACCGAGATGAGATCCTCAGACCCCTTGTGAGACCATATGCTGGTGCGGTTGGCCCTGGGTTCCTCCTAATGCAAGACAATGCTAGACCTCATGTGGCTGGAGTGTGTCAGCAGTTCCTGCAAGAGGAAGGCATTGATGCTATGGACTGGCCCGCCTGTTCCCCAGACCTGAATCCAATTGAGCACATCTGGGACATCATGTCTCGCTCCATCCACCAACGCCACGTTGCACCACAGACTGTCCAGGAGTTGGCCGATGCTTTAGTCCAGGTCTGGGAGGAGATCCCTCAGGAGCATGCCCAGGCGTTGTAGGGAGGTCATACGGGCACGTGGAGGCCACACACACTACTGAGTCTCATTTTGACTTGTTTTAAGGACATTACATCAAAGTTGGATCAGCCTGTAGTGTAGTTTTCCACTTTACTTTTGAGGGTGACTCCAAATCCAGACCTCCATGGGTTGATAAATTTGATTTCCATTGATAATTTTTGTGTGATTTTGTTGTCATCACATTCAACTATGTAAAGAAAAAACTATTTAATAAGATTATTTCATTCAGATCTAGGATGTGTTGTTTAAGTGTTCCCTTTATTTTTTTGAGCAGTGTAGTTCCACCAATATGTCTCTGGGTCTCTCTCGACTCTTTCTGCACCTGGCAGACACTCTTTCTACAACACCTTGCTACGAAAATAGCTCGCAACTTAGTTTCAACGTTTCAGCACGTAATCTACAGTGCCTTCAGAAAGTATTCATACCCCTTGACTTATTCAACATTTTGTTGTGTTATAGCCTGAATTCAAATTTTTTGAGTCCAAGCTTGCCATAGAAAAGGGGTTGAATACTTATTGACTCAAGACATTTCAGCTTTTCATTTTTAATTAATTTGTAAAAATTTAACTTTGACATTATGGGGTGTTGTTAAGCCAGTGACACAAAAATGCAGGCTGTAACAACAAAATGACTACTGTCAGTCAGAAAAAGTGGGACACTTCTTTAATTTCCATTTACTGTAACCTCTTCAGACATCTATCAAACATATTAGCCCAACACATGATACATTTCTGAAATCCTCAGATGTTTTCTAATCACACAAAATTGAATTGTCATTGGGGTACAATCAGGACTATAATAACGGTGTCCCAGTTTATCTGACCTGCTGTCCCAGTCCACCAAATGCAAACTGAAAATATGATTTTGACTCATTATACACAATTAATGGGTGTGTTATGCCTCCTGTGAATATATCAACATCTGGAGTATTTCAGAAATGTATCATGTGTTGGGCTAATATGTTGGATAGATGTCGAAAGAGGAAGACGGAAATGCAAAAGGTGTCCCACTTATTCTGAATTCACCCTATAGAAATGCAGTAAATGAGCTTCAACTTTCAAAACATTTCCTGCGGGACCTCACTAAAACTCAAACCCTGGTTACAGCCCACAGTATGGATAGTGTAGCTAGTTTGACCATATTGTCAATGTTAAACAAGCTAGCTACACCCTAGATCAGCTAGATGCAGGCAAGAGTGTGCAAGGCGGTATTGAATGTGTCACTGTCTGTCACCTCAAATGTTTATCTCAACCTACATTGTAAACTTTCATTCATAGGCTAGGTTGTAGCAACCTCATGATGGGTATAGGGAAAATTAGAGTATCATGTAGTAGCCTAAACTTATCGACGTTACATTGAACTGGGTGAATGGAATATGAATGACAGTCATCCAATTAATTGTAATAGAAATAAGGCGATGGTCATGAAGAAAAACAAAATCGTCCTCCCTCATCTTAAACAGCACCGACACTGGTGGGAGGGCATACAGGCTGTAGCAAAAGTATTAATGTGCAACTTGCTTAAATAGATGTATTTTTCTGGGGGGTGTGACGTCATTACGTCCAACTGTTTTTATCAACACAAGACAGTTCAATGGAAACGCACCGTAGCAGGCAATTGTCACATATTTTCTACGCGAACGTTCTAAATGTCAACAGCAAAAATTAACTGGAGACGTTCATGGAAACATAGGTACTGACAGGCTATTTCACTTTCTCTTATATTACAGTTTTTAAAAAAGACCCCTAGTGCCGACCTAAGCTATGTTGTATGCAGGATTTTGGTCAAGCCCAGCACTAACACAATTTACACAATATCATGGTATTGATGAATTTGGTGTGTTAGTCCTGAACTGGAGCAAAAACTCAACTGTTTTTGGACTATGCTCTACTTTATCCTCTCCTATGACATGGCTCTCAACCTTATCAAAGTCCCATTTATTGTGATGGGCCTACTATTGCCATACTTCTGATCCCGATGGTTGCTAGACTCCTTATTAGACCAATAATAGATGTCATTCAGATTAGAGGTTCTTAGCACTACATACCAAATGGTTAGTATAGATTTGTAGCTCCCATCAATCGTTCCCATTAGTTAGAAGCTTATAATGCCTCCATGACAGACTAACCCTGTCCAAAAAGCTGCCAGGACTATTAGCTCATCATGACCCTAAGGGTTGGATCTGAAGGTGTGAAGAAACAAAAACAGAACTCAATAACAGGTGGTGACAGCTGTGGTACATGCTTTTAGATTGCTAGTCATCATGATTATGCTAATAGTCATCAAAGCGGCATATGATTTGAAACAAGTTTATTTTAATAGATATTTTTCTTTGAACAACCAAGGATGTAAAAAAGAAAACCAACAGCGAAAAGTGAGTGCCTTTCACTTAAGTTTTTTTCTTTAAAAAAATAGCCTGCCCTTTTACCCTTGTTCACAAACCGTTCTAAAACCGAAAACAAACCAAAAAATAAAACAAAACCAAAAAGTGTGGAAGGCCATTACAGTTCTTGGCAATTATAAATATAGTGGTTGGAACAGGGGTCTGAAACGGCTCACATGTAAAGAGCATACGTTTATACACGACAGTAATGACACTCGGCACTGCCTGTATCAAGTTTATTTGTAAAAAAACACGATCCTTTTGTCCAGTATCAATTCAATGTGTTTATGACAAGTAAATATGTACATTCAGCTCTACCAGTGTGGCGTGTCCATTACCCCCTCTTAAATTATGATTGTCTGTTCAGGGGGAGTAGTTGTGTGAGTATTTGTAATCTGAGTAGTAATCTTGTCCCCCTGGCCTGGGCCAGGGGCCTCCCGGTGGGGCTCCTCTACCTCGGTACCCCCCTAACGACCCGGGACCCATGCCCATGGGACCAATGCTCCCGCGTCCCATACCCCCATCCATCTGTCCAGGCATGGCACCTATACAGCCGTAGCCACCATCGCTGAGTGGATGGACATTGGCCGCGCCGCCTCGACTACCTCCAGTCCCTTCATGGATGGGCAGCATGGGCCTAGCTATTGAGCACCGCCGGTGGCTAGAGGCAATAGCCATGCCAGCTCCAAGGCTTTCTACACTGTTCACTGGAGTCCGGCCCCCCTGACTTCCAGGGGTACTGCCACCAGAAGTGCCTGTCCTCTCCCTCTCCCCGCTTTGGGTGAGACCGCTGTGGGAGACAGAGCCAGGCGTGGTCCCTCCCTGGCTGTTAGGGGTTCCTTCTCCTAACCCCCATAGGCTCTCCCCGGGCCCACCGTGTGTCCTGTCCCCCTGCTGGTTGGGGGTCCCATTAGCGCTGGAGCTGACCCCTTCCGGGTAGCCGAGCTGGGCCATTTCACTCTGAGAATATCCCAGGCCTAAGGAGGCTGTGGAGGCCACAGTAGGGTCTGAGTATGTAAGTGCAGTGGATGGAGAAGAGGAAGAGGCCTCTATGGCTGTGCTTGGCAGAGTGCTAGTGCTGCTGGCTATAGAGAAGGATGCTCCAACACCAACCCCTACTGCTCCAGTATCAGAGCCAGGCAGGCTAAACGACTGAGTCCCACCCAACATGAGATGTGGAGGAGGGAGAGGCTGGGGGATGTCTAGTAGGGTGAGGGGGACCTGGCTGGTCAGAGGCCCTGTGGTGAGAGTGGAGCCTAGGGCTGTAGTAGGTACTGTGGCTGGGTGTCTGTAGTCCTGTTCTTGGGTGCTGCTGCAGGGCGAGGCAGGGTAGGCCGGGGAGGCCGCATAGCCGGAGGAGCCAGAGTAGGATACCCACTGGGTGGAGGGACACAGGAAGCTCTGGTGGGGGTTGACAGCAAACCCTCCTGGCGAAGTGCTGCCTATGTCCGCCAAGCCTGCCCTCCCAACCTGGTTAGAGGCTTTGAACTGGGAGATGGCTGATTTGAGAGCAGCGAAGTCGGACAGGTTGGGGGTGCCGCTGGAGTAGGAGAGGGAGGAGGGTGTGTGTCGGCCGGGGGTGTTGAGCTGGTCGGGAAGAGGGGGGCGGAAATTGTCTGACTCGGGTAAGGGGGGCTGCTGGGTCGGGTCCCCCATGCCCCCTCCTGCTCCCCCGTCCTGGCTTTGGGCAGGGGGCTCGGCGATAACCTGGTTGTGGGTGTCATCATCAGAGTCCAGCGACATATCTTCCTCTTCTACACACTCGTCATGCACTACTGAGAGAGGAGTAGAGGGGGAGAAAAAGTGAGAGGAGAGGGGAGACAAGGGGAAGAGAAAGAAAGGGGAAAAGGTTATAGATACATTCAAGTAAAACATTTGGCCAAAAAAAATTACATTTTGGACACAATTATCTTGCCATTACAAATAATTATGCATTTTAATTGTTAAGTCGTTGTTCATGATACCCACCAGTAGAGGGCGGTGTGGGCAGCTCGTTCTGATCGCTGGAGCCAATCAGGCTGTGGAAACTTGTCATGATGTCATCGATGTTGGCGATCACTATGCCGTTCCTGGAGTACTGCAGGAACATCTCAAACCGTCTCTCTGGAGGGGCAAACAACAAAAGAAGGGTGCTCAATTGAAAAAGTAAATATTCTGGTTTACAAACAAAAAAAACTGAAAAATGCCTTCCAGAGAGATGGAATGATAGTCTCAAAGCACAGTGAGTGAGGAGGAAGAGGATGATAATGGTGTGAAAACGATGATGGTGGTACCTGTGAGGAAGATGATATGGCGGTGCTGGGTGTGGTTAGCCTGGAGCTTGACCAGGCAGTCTAGATCAGGGGCCTGACGTGATTGGGCGTCACACTCGTGGTAAGGCAGGAACTCCACCAGGTGCTTCTTCTGATAGGCTGTCAGCAGGTTCAGAAGAGCCATGACATCACTGTTTAACCTATGAGAGGAGGGAGGGGGTGGGGATGTCTGTTAATAAAACAGTCTGAACACATAAGACAAAACAAACCCACAAAGGTATTGATGAGAGCATGATATCATGTCCTATGTTTACATTGAGACTAGAATGTCTGTTTTTGTATTTTTGCCTTGTAAAACAGTCACCACTACTCCTACTACTTTGAACCTCCCAGAGACGTTCCCTATTGGTTGATAGACTTCCTTGCCAGTCTTTGTATGGGATGGACGTTGTTACTGAATGGCTTGACAGAGGTCTATGTAGATGGCCATGCTGAATGGTAATAGTGGAGGTAATTACTGACCTGCCCAGCTCTTTGAGTTTCTTCTGGGACTTACAGTGGATCTTCCAATGCCAGGGGTTCTCTGGAGAGCTCTGCTCCTCTAGGAACCCCAGGAATGCCTGCAACCGGTCTGCACAGGAAACACAATAATACACAACATATTACTGATCTGTACAGGAAACACATTAACACACAACACTTTATACTTGTACTGATCCCCCACATAAATGACCTGTCGTCATGAGAGTTCAGTATTTTCCCTTTCCATAAATGTATGACAAAAACCACATGGCTTATGCCATTCTGCTCTGTAGTCAATCTATGAGCACTTTACTAACCAGAATGTAATTACAGCTGCATGGTACATAAAGCAACATTGGAATTCTAATGAAAATAAAACTGGCCAAATACTGTTTCTAATGAGTATATAGTGTAGCTGCATGTTATTACAACATTTCCCCTGTAATGATGGCATTTATCCAGCTTCATAGAAAGGAACGGTGACTGAAAACCCAAGATATTCACACGTGGATCCCACGCATCACAATGACTGTTGAGGAGAGTTGCGGAGACTAATTTAGGCGGCTCACCGTGCGTTATGAAGTCTGGGTTGAGGACAAACTCGTCAGATACGATGAATCCTCCGGAGACGAAGAGCTCGTTGTAGGTGTGGTTCTTCACATCGTCCAGACTGTCCACTCCAGCAAAGCTCACCATAGACAGCTTCTTCAACGACACCAGGGCTGGGATCTGACAGGGGGAAGGGTTCAGAATAAATCATTAAATATGACACACATACATACAGCTTTAAATTCATCCTCAACACTTAACATTGACATTTGTGTGAGACAGAGGTGATGACCATGGCTAGACAAGTTGCCGCGAGGATCATGTATTCCAGCTCTGTCTACATATTCAATTAATTACAATATGTTTCTCTGTGCTGCATCCATGTTTTCGGTTGGATTTAAAATCAATTCCACAGGTCCAATTAGAATTACATTATTTCAGATATTTTCTGGGGGGCTAACGAGAATTCTCTCTGGACAGACATTCTGTCTGGTGCCGTGGCGATGATGACTCATCCTAGGAACCAGCCAGTCAATCAGTAAGTCAGTCAGCGGGTCAGCCAGCCGATAATGATGTTACCTTGTTAACGTGGGAAGAGATGTCCTCGTTCTGAATGATGATGAGCAGCTTATCCAGACTGCTGTTTTTCTCCAGGAATGTCTGGGGGTTACACTCTGTGTTGCCCAGGCTCATCAAGTACTCCTGTCACAGTGAGAGAGACAGAAAGAGGGGGTTTAGAACCAGAGCAAAATACCAAATTGACAAGGTGCAGATTGAGAGGTCATGAAGATAAGGGGACTAGTGAAAGAGTCGTGCAATATTGTAAACTGTTGTTTTTTATCACAGTAGTGTTCTGCAGTAAAACAAGGAGAATACAATGAAGTGTGACTCTCCTCGTCTTCCAGAGGACAAAGTTAGTTTAATGATGTTTGTAGATCAACAACATGAGGGAACTCTGAAAAGCAAGCCACTGAGTGACCCTTCACAGTGCAGATAATGACGCAGGTTGACATTTATTGGGACGAGTCTTGTCCTGGAGGCAGAAATTAGCAGTTTCCGCTAGATGGGCCAGCTGCAAAGTCAAAATTGGTTATATTGTAAAAATTCATGAAAACAAAAATTCACTTTTTGGTCTTAATTTAAGGTTAGGGTTAGGCTTTAGGGTTAGCAGTGTGGTTACGGTTAGGTTTAAAACCTTAATCTATGACTGTAGCTGTGCCAGCAAGTAGCCTCTCTGCAGAGCTGCCCCCAGAACAACATTCATGATGAAAAACACTCATCTGCGATATTTACAGAGGATAATTCAGCGCCTGTGACCGGGAAAGCTTGGATAAAGGTATTGGTGAAAAGTTAGCTCAAATCATTGATGAGAAGGAGTTAATCTGTGGGCAAACATTGACAACATGAGTGCTAATCATAACCGAGGCCTACAGTACCTTGATCTCCACACAGATGTCACTCTCCTCCTCCTTATCTCCAGAGTGGATGTAGAACTTGACCGTGTTCTTCTGCACGTCCTTGAAGATCTCCACCAGGCTGCTGAACACCTCAGGCTTCAGCTGGCCTATCAGTAGTCCAGCGGCTGAGGCCGGGGTCAGAGGAGAGGGGGCTGTGAGAGGGGCTTGTTTAGGCCGGGTGGAGGTGCATTCTGGGGAGCCCATGGTGGCCTGGGAGGGGGAGTAGATCTCACACTCTGAGGCAGATGGCTCGAACTTCCTCTTCATGGAGGGCTTCTGTGCTGCGGAGGGGGTCTTGTGTGGCTGTTTGACCGTGCCCAGTTTGTGCCGGCTCTGGGAGGAAGAGGCGCTCTTATCCTGAGGGGGCTGTGCTTTGGTTTTGGGGACATGCTTGGGGGTGGGGGACGTGATGGGTGCAGGGGAGTGGACAAGGGCAGGTGGGGGTGGAAGGTGAGGGATGGGGGGAAGGGGAGGTATGGAAGTGAGGGAATGGGGTGGGGGAGGGAGAGAGCGAATAGGAGGGGGAGGGGTGGGGTGGATGTGATGAGGAGGGGGAGGGAGAGAGGGCATGGGAGGGGCGGGGGTGAGGCCATGTGGAGGGGGTGGCACAGCAGTGGGGGGAGCACAGAGGGTAGAACGAGCCCCAGGTGCTTTAGCAGAGTCAGTGTGGCAGGGTTTGGCCACCAGTCGGCCCATCCTCTCACACAGGGTGTTGACGTGGCCCTGGACAGGGACAGACACGACATAGGGTGCCACAAAGTCTGAGAAGGAGCTGTTGGGCTGCCAGGTGTGGCGCGGGGGCAGCCGTGGGGACAGCTGGGAGTTGTAGTAGATCCTCTGGGTCTCCATGAGGCCCTGGATGGAGTTGGAGAGGCAGTGGAGCTCCTGGCTAACGATGGTGTCCAGAGTGCTGGATGTCCTGGCTGGCCTCTCTACCCTGCTGTCCCTCTCTAGGGAGGTGCCCCTGGCTACCCCCTCACTTTCCAGGGAGGCTCCTCTAAGAACCTTGTCCCTTTCCAGAGGGGCTCCCCTCAGAGCCCTCTCCAAGGAAGCCCCCCTGGCTATGCTCTCTAGAGAGGCTTCCCTCGTAACAGTCTCCCGCTCAAGGGAGGCGCCACTCGGACCTCTCTCACACCCCCCCAGACCTCCCCTCTGCTCCAGGTGGCCGTCATTCAGAGCATCAAGGAAGGGGATAGGTTTGTCTGTGTGAGAGGCCAGCTCCAAGGTGAGTGGTGGGTTTTCTGAGGTGTGGGGTTGTTCTCCTGGAGAGCCGGGGCTGAAGGGACTGGCCAGACTGCTCACCATCTGCTCCTAAACAAACAACAACACCACTGTGGTTAGTCACAATACTCCATCACAACACCAGATGATTCATTCCATTCAAAATGTCTGAGTCCGTACTTCATTTTTTCTCACACACACACACGTCTCACCTCCAGGTAGTCCTGTCGGGCCTGCTCCACTCGCCCTGCGTACGGCGCTCCAGCCAGGGGCTTCTCCGCGCTGGCCGTGCCCGTGGCGGGCTCCCCTTGGTCGGGCAGGTCGGCGGCGGCGGCAGCACCCTGGGCCATGGCCTTGTTGAGGGTTGAGAGCAGGATCTTGAGCAGGCGCTGGGTCTCGTTGGACGAGGAGGCCTGGGAGGAGTTGCCCCTGTCCCTCAGGTTAGTGTCGTAGATCCCCATACTCTCCATTACTGCTGCCAGGTTGTAGTTCCCACCCTCCCCCTCCTCCCCCTGGGCTACTGGGAGGACAGACAGTGGGGTTAGGATGGATGTAGCCTTGCTTACCAGGCTTATAAGGTAGGCTTCTACAGTACACACACGGCAAGGTTAGAAAGGATATTATTGATTATATAGGCCTAGTTTTAAATGTTAAATCAGAACATGAAGTCAATATTTTCTCTTTGGTTGGCGTATGAATGTTAAAACACTACAATTATAACTTGCTCAGTCCCTACTCCCTCTCAAACGTATGTCTCCCTCCCACACTTGTTCTTTCCCTTATTCTTCCAGTCTTGCCCACACCGACACCAGCCTATCACTCTCTCCCACGCCAACTCACTCATTCATTCTCTCATACAACCTTTTGTTCCCTCCCACACCATCCCTCTCTCTCACACAAACACACGTCACAGTCTCACCTCTACTGGGCTCTCCGTTGCTGAAGTGGGCTCCCCGTAGGTATTTATACATGGCCCCTGATTCGTCCTCCTCTAGTTTCCTCTTCAGGCCGTGGGGGCCCTCCCAGCCCCCGTCGTCACCCCCCTCAGCCCTCTCCTTCCCCCCTGGCTCCTTCACCAGGGCCTTCTTATGCAGCTGGATCAGCTTCAGAAGCTGTTTCATCTTGTCCTTATCATACTCACTCTGGGCTAGCCTGGACCTTTGGGGTGGGGCCCCTGTCCCTGCTGCAGCCCCGTTAGAATGGGCCTGGGTAGGCCCCCCTCTCCTCCTACTGCTACTGCTCTCTGGAGGATGCCTCTCTGGTCTGTCCGACCCTCCTGAGCCCCCCCAGTCTGACACAGGGCTGTAGTCTGTGGTGGTGGGGGCCGGGGCAGGCGGGGGCTGGTTGATCCTGTCCATCATGTCCCTGGCCTTGACCATGGGGAGGACATAGGCCGAGGAGGGGCCATGCAGGTAGGAGCGTAGCAGGCCCTCCATGTTGGATTTGGGACGGGGCGCGGGGTGCATGTTACCCCTCTCGTCCAGGTTCTGTTGGTACTCTGGGACAAGGAAGGCCCGGCCGCTGTCCCTCCTGGTCAGGTAGTCTAGGGCCTGGCGCTCCACCCCGGTGCTGAGGTGCTTGTTGTCGGGGGCGGAGCGCATCTTGAGCAGGGCGTAGTGCAGGGCTGGGATGAAGGGTTCCATGGAGACCAGGAGGGGGAGCTGAGGATCGGATGACAGGGGCTCCTGCTCTGGGGGAAGGATGACAACAGGGACATGGTCAATGGAGGTAGTGGTTAAAAGTTCATAAGGTGCACATAAAAGGCTCTTACTAGAAATCACATATCTCAAGGAAAAAATAAGCTGCAACTGTGGTTTGAGGAAGGATCTTTTAGAATACTTACTGTACTTAATGACTCCCCTGGACTCCTGAAAGACAAACAGTGCCTGCAGGCTCTTTTCAAACCGCCCCTGACGTTCTAGAACACACAAAACAACTTCCTCAGTAATAACCCACACAAACAACAACATGCGAGACCAGTGGAGAAATGAGAGGTGCGAACGAAAGAGAAATAGACAGGACGTACCCTTGGGATTGACCATCTGAGTAGATGACAGGAGGAAGAGAAAGCCTTTGTCAACTAAAGGCTTCACTAGCACCTACACAGGGGAGGCAAGGAGACATTAACATTCACTACATCTAAACAAACACTTTACATACATACACTGCAGCTGTGCAACACTATCCTTGACATAACGTTATGGCATTGGAATTCCCTGATTCTCATTAGCTCTACCGATTAAAAACATATGGGAAACAAATGACAGCCTTTCTAGGGAATTCAACAATTTAGCTGCTCTACATTTCAAACGTCATGGGGGACCAAATGGAAGACTGGGAGGGTGTAGTGTATGACACTGTGATCCACCCCCCGCATCCCCCTCCCCACTCCTTTTCTAGTCTTGATGTGTAATCGTTCAACTGTGACGTGATGTTTTTTCATCACTTGTGTAGTCCCCTGAACAGTCCCAAACCCTCTCTACGTCAGTTGTTCTTTTTATGTCCTGTTAAGGATTTTTTGCTGATGCAAGGCACATTTATGCGAATTCTAAATATACAATTCAGTCTTCTCGATCTTCATTAAACATCTTCCAGAGGGACAGTCAGGGAGTGACTCACCATCCTCTCTCTCTCCAGTTTGTGTATGAGTCCTGATAAAGTGCTGCTGCTTGCCTTGCCCTTTGCATCCACCACCTCAAACAGGCTGCAGTACATCCCACACTTTAGCACTGAAACACACATTTTTGCTCAGAACAAGGCCGACTCCATAGAAAAAATGTACATAAAGAAAACACACCCACACAGTGATTTCAAGATTACATTGTTGTTAGTCAGATTCAGTGTTGTTGTTGCTGTAGTCATTCTATAGCAGGGGTGTCAAACAATGACTCAAACCAAATTGAAACTGTGCAGATATGATAATGGGCCATCGTTTCTTGACTGTGTCCAGCTCACTAATAATCACCGAAATGAAAGCTAGACAATCAGGGAGCATCGAAAATTCCAAGAATGATGGACAGAGGACAATGTCTTTTAAATGTTGATGGCAAGGAAATATAACACATTTTCAGTGCGGCCTTTCTGGACCTCGTTGAAGACCAAATGAGGCCCCCGGGGCAAAATTTGTTTGACAACCCTGTTCTCTAGCATCTATGCCTATGTACTGCTGTCTTCGTCAGAGAATAGATGAGCCAGACTAGGAGTAAGGCTATAGAGGTGCGGAGTGTTTCTGACCTTCTCGTGTTCTGCTGTAGGTGTCCCAGGAAAACAGAACAGAGGGAATCCTCCTCTTCACCTGGTCCAGCTGCATCCCCATACTCATCTCCAACTTCTCCGCTCTGCAGATGGAACACACACCAGTTCATCTACTTATTAGATAACTCATACATGTTTATTAACTATGAATTACTACCATAGCCATGTTTTAGTTATAGAGATGAATACATGTGTATGGATAATAAAAAGGGGTACTCACAGTTTGAAAGGGAGGAAATGGCGTGTTGAGGAGCGCAGAGACACCTGGCACACCTCCTGTCCCTTATTCACCAGTGGCCCACTCCACACAGTGTAGCTACTCCACCCTAACAGGCAAATCAAACTTTATTTTAAGTGCATTCAAAACACTTTACATTTGCAATAGAAACAATGGCCCGAGTCACCAGTCACAGGTCAAATATGGACATAGTCGGCCAAACATACAAGCTAGCTATCAAACTAAATGCTACAAATCCTACTTCAATACAATACTTTTACCTCTACAATTACTAAATCCTTCAGTACAAACACACTAACGCAGAGAGATAATGTGAAAAAGCAGAAATGGGAGCGTACTTCTGCTTCCTCCTTCACAGACAGTGCTGTTGAACCTGTGTGCAGCCATAGGTGCAGCAGCGGACTCCTTGCCTTTGTACTGGAAGGACACCACAGCATATGGACACACATGCCTGGGCCGAGACTTGATCTCATCAAAAGCAAACTCATAGAAATACTGCTGCGTGAGCTCAAAGGCCCGGTACGACAGCAGGGAGGTGACCCGTGTGGCGTTCTTGGAGACGTGACAGTCAAACTTGGGCGTGGGGTCCAGGACACTCTTAGGCATGTTCTCAAAGATGCTCTTCAGCCGGCCCTGAGGGACAAACACACTTACTGGGTTACAGATGATTTAGACTGGTGTGGTATACAGGCTGGTATATGTTGGATGCACGCAACAACGCCAGTGCTAGGCTGTAGCAATGTAAGCAACTATTTTCTAGGTATTCGTAAGATACATATTGTTTCAGTTGTGTCCATAATGAGTGCGATAGGAGATGTATTTACCCTCATGACTTTAAATATGACAATGTCTCCACAGGTGCCTGCTTCAAACGGGTTCATTTGCAGCAAATCAGAGAATTTGGACAGATAAACACCTGAAATGACATAACAAAAGTAATGTCAAGCACAAACTAACAATTCATAGACAACTAACTTTTGGCAAATCTAATTCTATGTGTGGGCTAATATTTTATGATGAGGTTTGAGGCAGCGTAGTTTATGTATTGTAATTATTATTTCCACCATACTCAGCTGTTGCTAGGCCATGTATTGTGTATCTTCTCATGTAGCTGTATCTGGTAGAAATGCTAAGCTGTCCATCAAATCAAATCAAATTTTATTGGTCACATGCGCCGAATACAACAGGTGCAGACATTACAGTGAAATGCTTACTTTAGCCTTAACCAACAGTTGCATTATTTTACAACAAAAGTAGAATAAAACAAACAAAAAGTGTTGAGAGAAAAGCAGAAAGTAAAATAATGAGTGACAGTGAGGCTTATAGTACAGTAAAAAAGTGACAGTGAGGCTAATATACAGTAAAATAAAGTGACAGTAGGGAGGCTATATATACAGGGGGGTACCGTTGCATTGTCAATGTGCGGGGGCACCGGCTAGTTGAGGTAATATGTACATGTGGGTAGAGTTAAAGTGACTCAGTGGATAAAGCTGCCCATACTGTGCTGAGGCATACAGCTTTTCCTCAATTACAGAGTCATTAAACATTAAACTTGATGTTGAGAAGCAGATCAATTTCGAACTGACATACACCAGGCCCAAAAACATCTAACAGTTTGACAAGTGCATTAGCGAGAAAAGCTATCCTTCCTGAGTCCAATCCTTAGAAGGTGAACAGCACAAAATTTGACATTTGCAAACTCTCCCTAAAAACAATTTAATGGATGACATTTGGTAGTAAGTGCACACACACTCACCCATTGCTGAATTTCCTAGTGTAGTGATCCTTGAGTGTCCCACAGACAGACCCTTCTCACAAATCCACGGGAGCTGGAAAAAGCAATTCACAACTTGTAAGTCAAAAAAGAGAAAACACTGGTTTCCAAAGCAGCAAAGCTCAGATTGTAGGCCTAATGCATAATCCAATGAGCTGGACTTCACTGTAGCAGCAACATCCGATCAGAGTAGTAGATCAACGAGCTGTACCACACCCCCTGGAGAGGCAGGCAGGCCCTCAGGCTCACCTTCGACTTGTCTGGGAACAGGAAGCAGTAGGACTCCACCAACTCTGGGTCTGTACGGCCCTCCTGCTTTAGCTCCCTCCTCTTCTCAATGAACTGGCACACACACGCAAAAAGATGGCATCATGAGAAAAGATGCAAGCAGAACAATATAAAGGGGACACTGGTTTTGTGGGTGGGTCAATGTCAATGAGGTATGAAGTGCGTATTTGTCGTTGGTCGTGCTAAACTATCAATTAGTGTTTTGGGCCAGTCTGGGGACAATATCAGCCGTGGGTAATGTGTTTTGTTTTGTTTGAACATTATGAAGTGGAGCTGTTACTAAAGTGATAACAGATATTGACAACAGAGGCTGACTGATCAGCTGGGGGGGGGGGGGGGGGGGGGGGGTGCTTGTTGATGCTACCTCTTTTTCTAGAAGCTCATTGTGAATGAGCCTGGCCTTGCTGTAGGAAAATGTCCCTCTGGATGATGCATCCAGGTAGAAGGAGGACAGGATCTTCATAAGGCCCTCAAACTCCCGGGAGTCAGGGGGCAGAAACTGGTACAGGCCTACAGGGAAGAGAGAAACAGCAGATTAGTATCAGGGATGTGATTGGCACAACGTAGAACAGGGATGACGTTGTTAATTTGTAAGCATTGTTACTTTTTAAGCACTCAATAGCCTACTTTCTGGGTATCTGGTCAGTTTAAACTGTCAAAAGGGATTAGTAAATGTGTTTAAGAGGGGGCAGACGTGTTTCACACTGTAATTACAGTTCTTTACAGAATCCCCTTCACTCTTTTTGGGGAATAGCATTGTCGAATTCTATAAAAACAGCTTGCCCCTACATCTAAGCACTTTATGGAGATTTCAAGAGATTAGATAGGTATTAGCATTTCTGTTCTCCATCTTGCTTATACCTTTGAATCCTTTCATATCTACACAAGTGCCTAGAGGATCAATCTGGAATTGGGCACATAAGGGTTGTGGAGGAGGTGTTGTGTGAGTAATGCTTGGAAGCTATGCAGCATATCAGGATGAACTTCATTTCCCTACAATGACACACCACACACACTACATACGCCCACACACATAACACGCGCACACATGCATACAGACGCCACACACACTTTCACACTCACCACATACACGGCTGCTTCTGCTCCACATACACTCCATCCATCCCATTGCCTAGTTACTTTACTCCTACCTATATGTACATAAGTACCTCAATAACCTCGTACCCTTGCATATCGACTCAGTACTGGTACTCCCTGTATATAGCCATGTTATTTTTGCTCTTTGTTAGTCTTTGTGGTTTTACATTATTCCTTGTGTCACTATTTCTATTTTATCTTTAATTATTTGTTGGTAAAGGACTCGTAAGTAAGCATTTCAGTGTCTACACCTGTTGTTTACGAAGCATGTGTCAAATAACATTTGATTTGATGAGGGGTTTAATAAATTGCCAGGTATGGAAAATGGCATTGGGCAAATAATATCTTAATTGGGAACATAAAAAATGGCATTTGGGATCCAGAGTTGGGGTCAATTGATTCCGTCCTATTCTAAAATTGAACGTCATTGCTATGAGGAATGTCCATGTCCAATGGACATTGAATTGACCACAACTCAGATGTTCACAGAACATGAGGTCAGTATGATAGACAACATATCAAAACATCAACATACATACCCCAACTATACAAGATGGTTAGTACACTAAAGAGCTTCACTTTCCCAAATGGTTGCCATTGAAAAGAGTGATAGGATGGGGCTGCACTGTAATGCGGACCACTACCAATAGCAATTCCCTATCTTCATCAGGTCACCAAATGACCCTACCACCCTATATTCCATATTTATGCAAAAAGGGCAACGTTCTCTCAATGTACTTTGTGCTCAATTCTGATGATGCAATATTTTTTCAACAGAGCTGGCATCACACTAAGAAACTGGAACATCTAAAACGATTGGTTAATTGGCTATTTAAAGTCACATAATGCATGGGACATCATATCCGTCAACCAATACGCCAGATTCTAGAGCCAACATCAAATGAGACTTCATGTAGCCATATGCCCATGAGAGCAACTTGTATGATGGATTGTACTTTGCATGCAGGCTGTGCCATCATAATTCTGCATCTCCCCAACTACGAAACCAAACACATGCAACCTGTGAATATAGCGAGCACCATTGCATAGCTAGAAGGCTCTTTCCGATGACAATCCAAGTAGTGGGCCCATGACAAAACAGGCCTCCACTGCCCATGGTTGTGTCCATTGCATAGGAGTAATCTAAAGGCGTCCGCATGATTCCCAGCTGGAAAAATTCGGAGGAATTTGTGCATATATTATGATGACATTTTGTGACGTTTTTATTATTTTTGGACTTCGGCGAGGTTATGTCGGCTGTTCGGGCACTAGACATTTTTTCTGGAGGCAAACCAAAGTTTACGCCCCTTTGTCGGTGATTGGTCAACAGTAGGGATTCTTCAATAAAGTCCGTTGTCATGCACATTTTTTCATTGAGAAATACTGCACCAAACATCTTAGTTAGATCTACAATTGCGTGACTAAGATCTCCTTGGCAAACAGCTCAAAATTAATGACAGATTTCTTGAGATATCGTAGATTAATTCTGACTATTTTGGCTACGGCGTCTCAAAATTGACAAACAGTACTATGGACGTTTTTCAAACAAATGTATTTTAAGGGAGTACGCGAGCACACTCGTTCGGTTCGGCTAAGCGCCAGCCAAACTGAAGCATGCTGACGCCAAAAAAAGTTTATGTAAAAGCCAAGAACAGCACAGTAACCTATCTGAAGAATGAACTAGCCTAAATAGCTAGCTAATACCAAACCAGTTCTTGGCAGCTTCTTCGAGTGGCTACACTCCTGGATTACCAATGGGTTCACTATTTCGAGTGAGCACAGGAATAAAATTGGAGCCTGGCCTTGTCTTCCATAATCTGTATAAAATCTGTGAAGATAAGGGATGACGGCTGACTATCTTTGGAGCTTCATTGAAGGGCCATGGTAACCAGTCTAGATAGGTGTGGTGTTTGTGCAACCGAGTGGACTTTACTACTATAGTCATTTTCCACCAAAAAGCCTTCAGAAATGGGTCCTCGGCTGAATACCATCGCAACTAATTTCACTCTCCACATGAGCCTCCATGTAGACCCAAGGAATATAGAGGCTTGATGGGCAGTTGCCTGATTAAGCAGACTGTGATACACAATTAAATTGGTATACAGCCTGAACCATAGGTGTGCAAAATCATGGAATTGTTCCTTACAAGCCAGAATGTTTACATGCTTTTGCATGTGCAGCTGAAGGTCCAACCACATTTTATTAAAAATTCTGGCTTGTAAGGAACATTTCCACCATTTTGCACTCCTATGTTTCAGACCGTATACAAATTCGATAGCGGAAGTGCTGAAAGATGGCGGCCTCCATTCACTTTGCACAAATTCCTTGTTTTGCTAAGTTCTCTGTTACTCTTTTGTATGGTCAATAGCAGAGTATACATGATCACAATTTTAGCTTCAAGACACTGGCAATTTGAAAATCTAAAAAGTAGATTGTGCTGATTTATTGGCACATTGAACCATATCGCACGTCATAGTTTAAAAACTCAGTAGATAGAGCTAAAACAATGACATATCTGAATTCTGCCATCTTTATGCACATTCGCCATTATGTATCAGTCGAGAGAGGCTATACGGACACGCCTGTTGCCCAAATTGATGGCGTATGTGGCAAATTTGTTCCATCCCACTTGATTTTATTTAGAGTGGAATAGCAGCCTACATGATAAATGTTAGTAACCATCTGGATGTCACCGTGATACAGTTTACTGCCCAATGGGGAGAGGTTGCACCCGCTTGCCGGGCATTGCTGTCCTGCAGTAAGGAGTGGAAAAAAGCTAGATCAGGGATGGGCAACTCGTGATTTTTTTTTTTTATAAATTAGGAACTCAGTCGTGGTTTGATATTACTGTTGAGAGTTAGAATAGTAAAATATATATGGTGCAATTTCGAAATGTGGTTGTGCATCAGCAGTTCCTCTTATGTCAGTCACTCAATTGGCCCAGGTCAGCAATTTTTTTTTAGATTGGTAAGTTAGTCTAGCCAGCTCTCTAAACTTGTAGTAATAACGGTGGAATTCTGACCGTGGGGCCCCCATTGATTTTGTTAGTCACTCTTCCACCCTATGGCAAAATCTGTAGAATTGCTGGAAATTTGCTCTAAAACTGACAATTTTTCTCTCAGGCCAGGGTAACAGCTAAAGCACATTTATTTGAGTGATTTTCACCAAAAATGTACAACTACTAAAGTGACACTTTGCTTCTTGAAAGTCAAATATCTTGAAAACCTGACTGCTGATATGCAAAACATTGTGGGACAGTATCAACAATGGACTAATGTATTTTTTTATTTTTTAAGATAGTTTGAGTGGATTTTCGCTTTATCATCTATTTTTAATTGTATTTATTACAAATACTCTGACAAAACCTGAATGATTCTGAACACTCGCTTAAGTTTCTAGCCACAAGCATAATAAACTAGCTAGCTGGGGGAGGGCTCATTAGGAAGACTGACTGAACCGAATCCGTTCGTCCCCACTCAACTCTCGCTGCGCGACATTCGTCATCAATTTTGCCCACCAGGCGTGTCTGTATAGTCACTCCCTTTTCAGTCTGATTAATCAGGCAAGATGGGCAGCGTCTCTTCACGTGCTTCCCTCCTCTCGCCTGGGGCCGAAACTTACCTGCAATGATGACCGAAAGTAGGGGAACCGATATTACCTTGGCAAAGGCAATAACGAGTTTTGCGCGCAATAAAACTAGCTACCATCTGCATATGGATCACATTTATCCATGTCAATAATCTAAATTCAGCCGGTAGGGAACGCGGGTTTGCAACATGCTGCACTTCAATTCTGAAACACAAGGCAGCCTCTGTTGGAAATAGTAGAGAAAGGGCACAACCTTTCCGTTCCTTGATCTTCCTCGGGATCTGAAAATTTCTTCTTGGCAACTGTTCAGCCGGTTTCTGGCCGGGTAACGGTGAATTATTGGAGCTTCTTGAGTCCGTCTGCCCGCTCCTCCGCCGCTCAGAGGCTTCTTGTTCGGGCATTATACCGTCTTCACATCCAGTCTGATCGCCATTTTGGTTGGATGTGGCCGAGATGGCGGCTGACAACGAATTTTTCTTGCTATCGCCGCTCTCGACGTCGAACTCGCCGGTCTTCAGACACTGTATGTCCGTTTTTCTCTCCACTTTGGAGTTCAGGGACATTTTTCGGGCACCGTGCGCGTCTTTCGCGGGCAATGTAGTTGCTTACTGCGCCGCTTCACTAACACACTCTCCTCCTCACCCTGTCTCCGCCATTGTGAATATGACGTATGCCTTCTTCTCCACCACTGCAAAGCGCTGGCGTCACTCTGTTTACGTTCAAGCAATGCCGCGCCTCCTACAGGCCCTTGAGTCAAATAACTTCCTTTGAGACAGCTACTGGCTGAACGTCTACCTTTGTGGACAATCGTAGGTCACCTGACTGTCTCATAACGGGACTCTGCATATGAGTATGACCAGGGGCGTCATGCACCCCACAAATCTGAGGGGGCGCAAAGTATGTGAGGATGGCCGGGGGTGGTCTGGAGGTGGGCAACAATGCCCCCCCCCCCCCCATCTGTAAATTGGAGAATCGTGCATTTTATTTTTTCCTGTAATCTAGAGCCATAATCATTATGCTTAATTCTATGTCAAAAATGTATATTTTTCTGCATATCTAAGCATACCTCTTGAGCTGTCTGTCTGTATTTTATTTATGTTTTATTTTACCTTTATTTAACTAGGCAAGTCAGTTAAGAACACATTCTTATTTACAATGACGGCCTACACCGGCCAAACCCGGACGACGCTGGGCCAATTGTGTATTCCTGGCTGGTGTTTATTTTTGAGGGCATGATGCCTCTGAGTATGACTGTCTTTACTTATTTTCTACAGATAGTATGGTCCACTCAAAATAAATGTGCATACGTTTCCACTAAAGGATTATTATAGAAATCTTGACAATCATATCTTGTCAAATTAAACTGTTCCTGTATCTAAAGTTATGCTTTTATACCGTCTGCCACACGTGATAACTTAGTGGCATAAACAGGCATTTGTTTGAATCAGACGAATATCCATAAATAGTATAGGCCTAATAACTCCCTGACCTATCTGCTTTCAGTCTGACATTGGATATACAAAGAGTGGTGGTCTGAGTGGGAAAAGCTTATTGCATTTTGGCTGGCATCCAAAATGACATCTGACAAAGCCTACTATAAGAACAAAAATGGACAGTCATATTTTCTCAGATTTTATACAATGGTTCACCATCAGAGAACAGTAAAGCATGCACATCTTGTTATGCCTTGTCCAATGTCATATGATGTGCGCACAATGGGTGAAATTGATTTTAATGTTAGTAGATGAAAACTACTGAACCCAGTTCTAAAAGTTCCATTTAAATGTTTAGTGACAAAATACAATTATTGTAGATCGCGGATAAAAATAGGACATCCACAAAATCCCTTCATTTTTAATTCCTTACAAATTCAATAAATAAACATAGCATTTTAAGTTCCAAGTTCAATTTTATTTATCTAACCAGCTTAACACAGTTGGTTAAATCCCAGATGACTGACAGGGGGCGCTGTTTTGAAGCCCAAACGCAGCCATTTAGGTACTCCTCCATTGTAAAAAATAAATAAAAGAGAAAACGTTATAAAAAGCTATAAAAAAAATTGTTTTATTAATGTCTACATTAGTTCTGGCCAAGTATATTCTACTACAGACACCTTAATGTATACTTTTAAATGATATGTGAACTAAACATTAATACAAAAAAATAACATTCCTTGTTTTTTTGTACTAATGTTACTGTCCCCACTACAACAAATAAATGCTTCAATACTTGTAATTTTGTCCTTGAAACATTTAATAGAAATACTGTAGAATTCCATTCATTCCTGGAGGACTGCCAATATGGCAGTTGGTGGCTTCAAAGCCTCTCATTGGCCATTACATAGCATCAGCAATCCAGAGTTTATACACATCATTGGTTAGTACAGTGACCCACCATGATCTACCTATGAGCAACACACATTGTTCTGCCCATGACATAATATACCCATGCTTTCAGAGTAGGAAACAAAGGGAGAGAATATTGCTATTTTGTTCATCCTCTAGGAGTAGAGTAGGAACTAAAGAGACCAGTGGCGACCCATCATTCAGGGCAGGTGGGGCAGAACCCCACCTGTTTTGAGCCCCATTTGTTTAGCTTAAAAAAACAACAACATGTTTTACATGTTATTCTGGCATTAATTCGTGTCACATATCAGTTTGAAAACAATGTAAAAATATATATAAAAAAAAATACTTGAGTTAATAAAGCCACATATAAAAATGGTCTCTTTCTTGAGTAAGGCAGCTCCAAAATGCAGGTGTTTCAGCCTAACTCGGTGCTCTCTGTGGTGGAGGGGCAGACAGCAAAAGCAGAGAGCGTAGGCGTTGGTAATCTTCTCTAGTTGCACCTTGATTGGCTCAGTGTTCTGTCACTCATGGGGACACCACGTCACCGCAGAATCTACAAGAAAGGCTTGGCAGTTCAAGCCCCCTTGGGTGCTGCCATAGATTTACATTAGAAGTGCCCGTTCGAGAAGGCTCAAGGTCATTGGCCACTGATAAAATTACGTCAAATCACATATCTACCGTAGCTTTGATTGGACTGATCATGTCAACATCATACTTTCAAAATCTTACCTAACAAGCTAGCTAGCTAGACAAGCAGTCATCATCATGAATCACGTTGACAATCTACTGGCAAATTCTTTTCAATTGTTGTCATATGAAGAGAAATTATAGATAAAACGTATCGGTGCTCATCGGCCTTTGGAGATAAACATTACACAACAAGTTCGGAAAATTGCAAATTTAACAATGAGTGGGTTTGGAAGGAATCAGTGGCTAACTGCGAGCGTTGCAAAGCAATCACTATTTAGCTTCACCTGCCTGCTATTTGGTGGAGAGGGTGTGTGGTCCAAGTCTGGGTTTAAAGATTTAAAACATCTGTCTGAAAGTGTCTCTTTTCCAAGCTTAAAAGGATAAACATTCACATGCAGTACCATGGGCCAGAAAAGGTTGAATACATTGGCTATGCTGTCAATCCAGCATGACTTCATCCAGAGAATGCCAGACTTTGATGACAAAGTTTGCCCACAAGAAGGACCGCCGTGCCACCTTCCTGTTGAAGTAAGCACAGCACAACAACGTGAGTCCCAAAATATGTATTGTATGCTGCTGCATAAATGATGTAATATGCCAGGGAGATACGTATACTGTAGCTAAGAAAGTAATACTAAGTGTATGTTGTGTAGTGTAGTAGTAAGCTGTTAGTAGTCCATGTGTCCCACCCTAAGAATTGGGTCCCTCTCCTCAGAACAGTCTACTGTTCTGACTTGGTGGTGCCATGTAGCCTTTAGCCTGTTTAATAGAAATGTCATCATCGAATATTGTAAGAGCTTTCATTGTCTGCTTATATGCCCCGTTATTTATCCTACGGTTCTCACTAGGTGTGCAGGGAGAAGACTGTAAGAATGGCCCATGTTCTAAATTCTTTCGCTGTCCATTTCAAAAGTGCTGCACAAATAGGCATCTCGACTAAGTCTGTCTTAGCTCGCTCATTAATGTCTTGATTGAAATTACGGCTTGACTCTTATCCGCTCATTGTTCCCTTATGCCGTAGTTTGTACATCTCAATTGTTTTATTGCTTATATAGGTCTATCTCAATATCTTATTTATCATTTTAGGCGATGTTGGAATGATACATTTCATTGTTTTGCTTACTTTGTGTATTATATACTGAACAAAAAAATATATATATATAGACTTACAGTTCATATAAGGAAATCAGTCAATTGAAGTCAATTCATTAGGCCCAAATCTATGGATTTCACATGACTAGGTAGGGGTGCAGCCATGGGTGGGCCTGGGAGGGAATAGGCCCACCCACCCACTGGGGAGCCAGGCCCAGCCAATCAGAATGAGTTTTTCCCCACAAAAGGGCTTTATTACAGACATAAATACTCCTCAGCACCCCCCCACCCCTCCCTCAGACAATCCCACAGGTGAAGAAGCCGGATGTGGAGGTCCTGGGCTGGCATGGTTACACGTGGTCTGCGGTTGTGAGGCCGGTTGGAAGTACTGCCTAATTCTCTAAAACGACCCTGGAGGCAGCTTATGGTAGAGAAATGAACATTCCCTCAAAACTTGAGACATCTGTGGCATTGTGTTGTGTGACAGAACTGCACAATTTAAAGTGGCCTTCTATTCTACAAGGTGCACCTGTGTAATGATCATGCTGTTTAATCAGGTTCTTGATAAGCAGCACCTGTCAGGTGGATGGATTATCTTGGCAAAGGAGAAATGCTCACTAACAGGGATATAAACAAATTTGTGCTAAAAATTTGAGATAAATACGCTTTTTGTGCATATGGAACATTTCTGGGATTTTTTATTTCAGCTCATGAAACATAGGACCAACTCTTTACATGTTGCATTTATATTTTTGTTCAGTGTAATTAGCTCGTACTTTTCTCCATGAGGAGTGGATACTATATATGTTGTTGGGTCTGTAACCATGTTTGCCAGTGACAGGCTCTTCCCATTAAAGTTTAGTAATAGACCCCATGTATTTCCAGTTGATATTGCGAGGGTTGTTTGTTTTTGCGCAATGTGCTGAAGTGGACCCTCGTGATTGTATTTTCCTACTTTCTTAGACCACATGTGCCTAATAAAATACTTCAAATGGTAGGCTAACCCCGTCTCTCTCTCTCTCTCTCTCTCTCTCTCTCTCTCTCTCTCTCTCTCTCTCTCTCTCTCTACTCTTCTTTAAGTCACCTTACACAGAGAAAGTTAAGGCCTCAACATGTTGCTGAATTTATCTGAACTAACATTATCTGAATTTCTGTCGGTGTCCTTGTCACAGCTCATCTGCTTGCACTTGCTTATACTTAGAGCTAAGTGTTAATGATATAAGAACAAACATGATGAATTTACTGAACATAAATGTAATAATGTTTGTGTATGGTTCAAAATTCAAAACTCATGTCGGCATTCGTTGTTATTGAAGGAGAATGTGGTTCTTATCGAGTTACACAAATCCACAAGGAGTCAGTAGAAACGATATTTATTTAAGCAAGTCAGCCATATCAGCTATGGTTTTTAAAAAGGAAGTAAATGAGGCGGAATAAACTGTTTTGCTGCCAGACAAGGCTCCGCTGATAGGCAGGTGTAGCGGTGGTAAGGATTCACTCCATGGTTCTGAAAGGAAAGCTCCGCTGTCGGGACAGCTTTATGTAGGCCCTAACAGTTTGTGGGC